AATAAAAATGACTTTGGTAATTTTTCAATCTTCGTAGAGAAGAAATGATTTTTCGACTGATGTTATTTGTTATGACTTATGATCATGTTGTAAAAATTTATAGTACCTAGGTAACATTTTAATGTTCAAGTGAAATAAATCATTGTGCATCAAAGTTTTGGGATTTGGATTTTTTATATTTATCCATTTAATTTTCCAGAATTACCGTTTAGTTTTTTTTATCTCCAGATCAGAATTTGTTCATATAGATATAGGTAGGTATCATTATTCATCATTATATTATACATTAATATACTGATTTTAATATTTTTTCTGTTTTATTTTTATTTTTGTTAACAGGAATCAATCCTTTTATTGAGATAATATCTAAATCTATCATTAATAAATCTAAAATTCAGATTTTCAATAAAATGGCCAATAAAGGAAATAAAAATAATAATTCTAAATCGTTCGTCAGGTTAACAAAACTAAATTATTCTTTCATGGATTGAATTTGAACTTGACACCTAAAGTTCATATTGGTATGGAATATTCCATCACAACACGCCAATGACTGAATAGATAAAGTTATTAGTTTGATTTTTTAGTAGACGTTTACAACTAATCTATTTCTATAAGGTTTTATTAGATGATTTTATTTTTATTGAATGTTTGTGTTTTAATTTAAAACCAACACCTAATATATAGTACCATTAGTAGTTAGTACCTATAGTAGTTGTAACAATAATAGGTAATTTTATATGTAGATTACTTTAATATTTATATTTAGTTTAATTAATTATGAGGTATGACATATGGGTTCAGAAAATAATAATTTGTTGAAATGATATAGGTAGGTATAAACGAGTAAAGGTTTTAATGATTAGGTAATACTAATAATAAAATGATTATTTTGGAATTTTATTGTTGTGTGGAGGAATGGGGTGGTAGGAAAGAGTGATATTGCTCTTACTTTTGTATAGTCGGTTTGATACTATAGTATGTGTATGTCTATGGTCATGGGTAGTTAAAAAATTATGTAGATCGGATTCGTTGAGTCCTCGATGATGCTTGTCTATTATAATATTGTTACTACTCATTGGATGCATCTTCGTAAAAACACCAAACTTACTTGAAGTCTATAGTCTATACAGTTCTCTGGACATACCCGGGTAAGATGCAGTACTTATTCATATTTTATTGGCAGTTGACTTATGCTGCGGTACTTGGTAAATCCTATCTTCAGAATTTCTAGATGATTGGAGGGCGATGGAAATCGGGTTGTCATTATCCAATATGGGAATAACATTGTTGCAATCAGATTTGTTGGCCAGAGGGGTTACCAATGGCCATAAAACCTATTTGTAATTTTTTATTGTACACCACTCATTGAACCCAAGTATGGTTCCCTACGAAAAGCAAATTCGTTATCACCCAATTTACTATTGAGGGGCCGCCATGAACTGTTATTAATCATTGTGTAGTTTAACGAATGAGTGACAATGATTATGCAGCAATGTGGGTATATAGTTAACACTAATTCCCTATTGTTGTATAAGTTCAAAATGTTGGGAAAAAATATTTATGATGTATGACGCAAGTCTTAGGTGTTGATTCCGTACGTCCGTTTGGTGTCGGAAATTTAATGAAGATAAGTTAAGTACACGTATCTAGCCCTTGGGCGCTAACTGCACTTGCAGCAGCTGATTGGTCACGTAAAAATTTGCAATAATAATGTATTTACAGCCATTTCGATAATGCGTTTTTGTGGTTTTATTTTTTTAGGGCATAAAATGAATAGTGAGTATAGTGAATTGTGAATTAATGAAAAACGAAAATATTTTCGATAACGTTCATTCGTTCATTACTCATAGTCGTCATTCGTTAATCCGGCAACCACGGAATTAGGAAATAATGTAATATATTTATAATAAATATCTTAGCGACGAATAGATAAGACCGTTGGCCGCACTGATGCGAGTGATTGCCGGGCCTAGCTATAGCTGCTCAGTTCGACACTTCGGCGATACCGAGCGTCGTCGTTGTCGTGCTGTCAGCTGTTCGATTCTTTCGTTATCGTCAACTTATGTGACGGTAGTCGGGGCAAAGGGTTAACAATTATCTTTTAGTGAAAACTGAAAATATTTTTTATTAATATTATTACATAAAAAGTAAAAATATATATCTGCGCGTCGTTGCTGCTGTTCTCGTTTGTGTCCGTTTAAGTTGTGCTCTTGTAGTCTGTCGGTAGAGAGTAGAGAAATGTTGGACATTTACTACCACTACCACCGTTTCTGTCATCATTTTTATTGATAGTGGTCTAGTCTCGTTGCGATGGCTGCAGCTGACGCGAAAAGCTCGACGCCGCCGCCTCCGCTGTCGATAGTTGACGAGGAAATGAAAGGTTGGCTGTTCAAGTGGACAAATTACATCAAAGGATATCAGAAACGGTGGTTCGTCCTGTCCAACGGTGTACTATCCTACTACAGGTAAACGTTACGACTATGTTATGATTGCTACAATGAACTTATTGGCACGGTGTCTTACTATATTCAGATTGATAACCTAGACCAATATGTGCTTTTAGATGTTGGCTTTTAGGTACCTATGTTGTAAATTAGAAGTCTCTTACATCTATAGAGCTGTTCAGTATTTTAGCCTGTCATTATTTCATTGTGATTTGCTACTTAATTACAAAAGTCACTATTATTTTTCTTTTTTTTTTCAATTAGTTTACAGTTGTATAAATTGTGTTTAGTTATATTCAAACGCTCGTTTAAACGGCTGTTTGTACTCATGTGCCTATATACACAACTATTATTCATATTACCTAGTACAGATAATAATTTTGATTATTCCTGTATTGTTTTTTAAAAGTTTAAGATTTCTCAACAATATCAACCATTAGCCTTAATTGAAAATATCTAAGTGATTTTTTATTTAGTTTAAGAATCTTGAAAGAGAAAATTAGGTACAATAACTAACATGGATCAATATATTATTTGAAGTTGGTAGGTATCTACTTTGGATCTACTTAGATCTTGGTATATAATATGTACATAATCCATAAATACAATAAGTATAAGTATCTAATATATCAGTTAAAAATTAATAACTTTAAGTATTTTAATAATTTAAAACATTTTCATATTTGATGTTTTAATAAATTTTCTTTGTATAATTTACACATCACATTATATTTGTGTATATTATAGTACCTAATTATAATCAATATTATGTTTATCTTAGTTAAAACCTCGATTAAAACTCAATGAATTAATTGTTGAAAACTAGAGTTATTGTTATAAAATAGATAAACAGTATTAATATAGTATTGACCTAGTTATTACATTTTATGTTGTATATCAAAAAAAAAAAAAAAAAACCTTGGTACTTTTTACTAATTAGTTGAAAATTAATTTGATTGATGATATTTTATAATTATGTATTTAATATAATAATTGAATACAAATATACCTATATTAAACAATTGTCTTTTAAACTAAAAAACTTAATTGGTTCATCTCCTTGTTATATAAATTATCATTCAATAATTTTAAAGTTTCTAGTTATTTTGTTTTATTATAAAATATATTACAATGTCAATGGGTGTCAAATATTATTTGCATACCTAATATATAAAATGTTTTACATAGGTGTATTTTAAGTGAAATATTATACAATTGATATATTATATCTGAGTTATATGTTTATATCAACAAAATAACTACCCATATTTTATGATATTGTCCATGTTTTTATGTTATTTATTATGTATTTATCTATTAAGTATAAATTGATAGTAATAAAACATTATAAAACTTCTATTTTATCAAACATTGTAAAAGTTAATATTTTTTTATGGTAGGTATTCAAGAATAATTTTTTTTTTATATTTGTCAATATATTTTTTGACCAGTTATAAATTTATAGAAATTGGGTTGGTATCTTTTTATATTTTTTTGTTAAGTAATTATTTAATTTCAATACATTGTCACAAATGAATAATTATTAAATGCTGAAGTACAATATAATATGTTGTATGATATTAAAACAATACTTTCCTGTAGTTTTTTAGTTTAAACATACATTAGTGCCAAATTTTCATAAAAATTGTTAATTTCTATAAATATTTAGATAGGAAAATAAGTTACCATTCTACTTCAAACAATTATATACAACATGAAACTAATACTTTGATTAAAATATTGTGTTGTTAAAAAAATTAAATTTATATTTTACAATTATTTAAAGAATTTGAAGTAGTGAATTAAATATTAATATAAAATTAATTTAATATTTAAATAATTATGGCATTTCTATTTAGCAAAGAACTTTTAAGTTATAAAAAAACTATAGACTGCAATATAAAATATAATATTAAAAACGGGGTATGTTATTTTGTTGTATATTAAGTTTCGAGTGTATTTTACCATTGAGTAGATTAGTGTAATAAACACTTTATCTTTAAGTTTAGTGATATATTAATGCATATAAAAAATATTCAGAGTGAAAATTATGTGTCAGCCCTCATTTTTAAAGATATTTTATTTTATTCTATTAGTAATACAGAATATTGAACTAATTTTTGCCAAAATTAGTGCTAATATTATTTTATAATTATTACATAATATATTAAGTTATAAGTGAATGTTAATGTTCAGTAGAATTATGTGAATAGCTTAGTGGTATAAATACTATTAAATGGTTTAAAATAGCCAAATAGGTAATTTTGTTGGAAAACAGAACAAGGTAGTTGTACCTATGTTATAATCCTATTTATGTTAATTTGTAGATACAGTTTTAAAAGTGGAGTAACCTACTATCTACAGGCTAAAATTAAAAATTATAAAAATATATGATAATATTCATTACCAAAATAACACTGTAATTTATGTTATCCAAAAATGTATTATTGTTTAGGGGCAAATTTAAATATATATATATAATAAAGTATATCATTTGAAAACAAATAATTCTGTCTTTGTTCAAAATATTTATTATTTCCAATTTGTAATTTTTCTTATTATTTGTTGGTAGTATAAATATTTTATCAATGTTATTTATTATTTTACAACCAATTTAACTTATAACTATGATGTACACTGTTCCAGTACAGGTATTCATACACCTGTTATGAAGAAGTCATCAAATGTATCGACCATGTATGTACTCAAATTTTGAAATAATATTAAATCTTAGCAAGACCACACCTGACAAATTATAGAAACAATTTATATTTAATTTAAATGTTTAAAATATTTGTTGAAAATAATTATGTAATATTAGTAGTTATGTTTATTTACCTGATGGGTTTACTACAACTTTAAGAATTGAATCTGGTTTTACAATTTCTTTTGTAGTGATATTGTCAAATAAATTCTTGTGGTAGATACATGAAACAAGAAAAATATATAGGTATATTATTAGGTAGGTAATTAACTTTTAGATTATAAATTTATCTAATTATTTTTTTTTTTCATTTAAATAGTTATTATTAATTCCAAATGTTTGTTTTGCTTTTGTCAACATTGTTTTGTGATTGAAAATAAGGACTTATAATTTTTACTTAATACAATCAAATAAGAAAACTTACTAATTTTGAACCCAAAATAGTATGTAACTAATAATAATAAGTAATAAAATTATATTTTTTGAAGTAATGAAGGGTCTTTTATGAACTATTATTACTTACTCTAGTATATACCTATGCATTATTGTATTGAATAAATCATTATACCTTTATTTTGTATCCAATTGGGTTATTTAATCCTAAATTATTTAATGTAATATTGTATGGAAATGGTGTTCCCATTGTTCGACGACTAACAAAAGCTATTGCATAGGAATAGTATTCTTTCTCTTTTGGTTCAATTGGTTTTGACCATATCTCGATTCCTTGATCCTAAAAAACATTATTGATCATTTTTAAATAATATAATTATATGTAGTTTTTTTGCTATTAAATTAATCATAATAATAATTGTTTCAAATGTTTATTGTTTGTTTTTTTAATTGAATGATTTTCATGTTTTGTTTATTTCAACATTTATAAATATGTATAATTATATGCAACCTTATAGATTCTTTTGCCTTGTATGCCAAGTTTATCTTGATTTATACCAATCACTTCAGTATTTTGTAATATTTTCTTGAAGTTTGGTTCGACAGTAGATAACTTATTTGACATAAATAAAGGCGCAGCTAAAATAGCCCATAGTGCCATTTGTGTTTGGCTTTGCTCGTGACTCAATGCAAAATTTCCAATTAATAACTTAAAAGAAACATAATTTTGTATTAATATTTTTTTATTGGTCGAGAATTTGAGATAAACTATTTTGTAACCATTTTGAAATCTTACCATATCTGGGTCATTCCAATGTCCTGGACCTGCATATTGAGCCCAAATATCTTGTTTCACCGCAAAAGTATCAAGCACGTCAATTAAAGAATCATACGATTCTTGTATATCTCCATAGTTTCTCCATAAATTACATGATTGTGATACAAGTGTATAGTTTACCTTTTTTAAAGTATTAAAGTAATTAATTGATATTAATTTAATATTAAGTATTTAAGTGCCAAGCCACATTATCTTTTTTGTCTGGTATCAGTTCCATTTGTGGTGTGATTCGGTTAATGGTTCAATCAAACATTTTATATTAGATAGTGACCATATATATCTATATAAATATGTTTTGTTCTTAATCAATTAACCGATCTGTTTTTATACGTTTGCAGGTTTTTTTAGTAATAAACATTTGTGGCTTGGCATTTTTATATTAAAATTATTTTACTACATACCCGCATTCCTTTAATTTCTTGATAAAATGGCCAACAACAAGAGTAAATCATTGGTCTTCCAGTTTCATTCAAATATTTTCCAAACTGTGGAAAACCTATTAAAAATATTGAATGAGTGAATTTATTTTTTACATAAATAATTAAATAATTACTATGTAAACTATTAAATTACTTGTGTCCATATTTCGTTCATCTGTGTAGCATCCGTCTAATTTCACATAATCAACTCCCCATTCTGCAAATGTTTGAGCATCAATTTTTTCATAACCTTTAATACCTGCATATCCTTCACAAGATTTTGTTCCAACACTTTCATAAATTCCAAATTTTAACCCTTTTGAATGTACCTAAAAATTTCAAAAGCTTAGTGTAAAATAATATATATATATACATGAAAGAAATTTTGTTTATTTATTTTTGTATTTATTTAAATTTAGTTTAATTTATTTACTTATTTATTTGTTATAATTTATAATAATAATTCAATTATATTAATTTTTTTTTTTTATTGTGTATGATTATTTTTTTTCTCAGAGATTGAATACTTAATTAAATAGCCACTTATTTAATAATTATTAATTGTTTAAAAAATATTTTGGTTCTATTATAATTTATAAAGATATAGTATAATAGATATTAAAGTATTTTATGATATTTTTTAAAATTAATTATAAATAAACTAAAAAACTATGTGGTTACTAAAAATGTATTATCTAATAATAATATTATATATTCTCCTTTTAAAGTTTTTATAATAATACTAATAAACTTCAGTTTATTTGCTTACATAATCAGCTAAAGCTTTAATTCCACGCGGAAATCGTTTTGGATCAGCTTGCAATTTTCCATCTGTTGTTCGATTATGTGTCATCCAACAATCATCAATTACAACATATTTGTATCCAACTTTATCATAGCCTTCACTTACTAATAAGTCAGCGGTTCTCATAAACAAGTTTTCACTATTTAAAAAATGATTTTCATGATGACTACATGTATGATATTTAATTTTAAATATATGCATTAATTTTACCTTACGCATTCATCTGGAAAAGTTTCACAATCTATAGTACATCTGAATCGTTGCCAAGCAAGCCAACCCATTGGTGGTGTTAAAGCTAATCCATTATTAAGTGCTAATGCAATTTTGCAGGCAACTAATACACACAACCATACTTTAATTTTAATTATATAAGAAAACATTTTTAATAAAATAATAACTGCAAGTATTTAATTTATCTAGTAATTATACGAATAGTAATACAAATAATTTTAGAAAAAAAAAATTTATCAAATGAGTTTAATATTTTTCTTAGAAAACCTGTTATTCTAACTTGTTTATGCCAAGAACCTCATTTTTAACTGATAGTGTTTTTAATCTGAACATTATTTAGCCTTATGAATACGCAGATAATGAATCATGTTTTGTGTTAATTGCTGTTATTATAGTACCTATATTAGTTATGAACATTCAAACAAAACTAATGATAATGAGTATTCTTTTCTTTAACATTAATAGTAGCATTTCTTTTCCTCATTAATACATATTCAGTCGGATAATTTAAATTTTTTTATCATTAATGTTAATTGTATAGGTGTAAAACCTAATAATGACTTATTTATAGTTGTTATTTTGTACCTACATTTTAAAAAATTGTAAAAATATATAGTTAAAATTTTTTAATGACTATTGTACTTCTAAAAAATTGACTTTACCCACTTTTTTTGCTTATATTTTGGTTTTCTTATTTAAACTAGTTGATATTTATATGAAAGTTAAATATAACTTAGTGAGTGGGAAGAATATCTTATTTTATACTGAAAATATATATTAAACTTGTATTAATTTAGCTTATATTTATTATGTATAGTTTGCATATATATTAAAATAAAACTAACAAATGAACTCTCTATAAATTTTGCTTCAACAGCTAAGTTAAAAGCATATTATTTTAATTGCTATACTTTCCTCTGTATTATTTATGTTTTACTTTAGATAATTTTTACAATATTATACTATAAATATTTTGCATATTAATAATGTTGGAAGTTTCAAAATTTTAAGTTTATACTGTTCTGAATCATATTATTTAACTTTAACTATTTTAACAATGTATTTTATACAATCTTGAAATTTTCTTTTAGTAAAAATATTTTGTTTTCTTTAAAAAAATATAAAGATTTGTATTAGGTTGATCTTATAAGTTTTTAACTTAATTTAATGAGTAAAATGTTTTAATAACAATTTAATTTTAATAATTATTATAAGTGGATAAAATTAAATTATGCATAATATATTACAGTGATTTAATTGTTAGCATGGTTGCTTATAATTAATTGTCACTGGTACCTATATTGTCTGGCAATTTTTTACCTATACATTTAAATTCAAACCTAATCTTTTAGAGTAGTCTTAAATTCAACAAATACAATTAAGTTAGCATGAGTTCATTTTTACTATGTATTTAAAAGTATAATCAAAGCTTTGTAGGAACTTAATTATTGTAAAAAAAACAATAAACATAGTTTTTATACAATAACAAAGTTATTTATTATTTTCTAAAAAGAATCAATAATATATAAATTATTTAAATATTTTATAGGTATGTTTAAGAATTGAATTATTTATTTATTTTTTATTTTTCACAGAAATCTTAAAATTAATGCTATTTTAAAATAATATTGAGTATTAATTGAGTATTAATGTTCTATAAATTATTTGTGTGAGTCCATTGTTCATAAATATGTTTGCTTTTAATCAGTGGTGTATTGGTAAATATATTTATGGGTATACGTATAACTTAAATATGTACATTCAACCTAAAAAAAATTTTTCTCGCTCCATTCCAATATTTTTTCTCCCTAGTCATTACACTAGAAAAAATTAACTTAATTCCTTACACTATGTTTATGACTATTAAACTTATAATGTACCTGTATTACTATAAAATTAAAAACTGGTAACATTAATAATTATCAATGTCCGCTTGTTTGGCAAACATTGTTATCATATATTACATATATTTTTGTTTTAATATTGTATCATCACAATATTAAAAGCAATAAACAATAAACGATATTTAAGTTAAATTTGTTGAGTATTATTATTGTTTATAATTTTATAATAAATTAATAAATAAGTAAACCTCGAAAATGCTATTTTGTAAATTCTTAACGAATACTCTAGCAGTCAAGATTTAAGTTTAATGTATCAAAAAAAGTTTTTATTGTAAATATATTTATTGTACTAAACAAAAATAATTTTTGCTCTCTACAATTTTTCTAGATATGATCTTGGACAGGTTTCATAATATTTGGCCCACTTTGGAAAAAAAAATGTAAAAAGCTATAACAATATATATGAAAATATTGGGTTCATTAGTTTTCAAAATCTTTGTCCTAGTATCATTAGTAAGCGTCTTGTTGGCTAATTAATCATGATTTCACATATTCTTCTGGGTTCTATTGATTCAAAGGTTGCCCTGCCTGTTTATATTTAAAAATATTAAGTTTGTAATATTTAATATTGTTAACTTATTTCTGAGATCAATGAATATTATTATTATATTTAAGAGACTAAAATTGACAAAAATATTGAACTAACGTGATACCATAAACATGATTTAATTTAATGGCTAAAATTAGTCAAAAAAAAGCAATCTTACATTAAAGATTTTATTTTCAAATAATACCTACTTATATAGGTACTTAGATTTTTTTTTATGATACTTAGGTACTTTTTGGAAATAAAAACTTTTTTTTTTAATTAATACTTATTTCTCTTTTTTTCTGTAAATTATTATTAACAGATGATTCTTTTGAAAGTGTTTTTTTAATATATGCATGCATTAATGTACCTTAGTCGATAATTCAAATTACTAGTTTCTAAGTTATTAAATTGAATGTTTTATAGGGATAATTTATTAAATGTTATTTAATAAATTTATTTTAAAATACATTAATTACAGTGTATACTGATAAATTAGATAAATAATTCATTAAAACCTCATAAGAATTTTTTTTCTATGAACTATGAACTATGAAATAAGTTTTATTTGATTTTCGAGTTATTTTAGGAGCATATAACCATTAAATGATATTTTACGTCAGGAGCATCATTTCAGGTTTTTTTTTGGGGTATGCGAGATTTCAAACTGGCCATTTCGAAATTTCATCAGGCCATATAAAAATAGATATACGTATATGGTATATATACATTATTCTGCTTTCAATTATTTCTACACACCGCATGAACCGAATCTTTGCATCAATATAAATAGAAATAGCCAATTCAAAAACTAAATTATAATAATTAAATAATTAACAATCATAATTAACAATTTACCAATATTGATAAATGTCAATATAAAAAATTTAAAATTTAATTTTAAGCATTATCTCAGCAGGGCGCAGGCCAATTATTAGTACTATTTTAAAAGTATAGGGTATAACCACACACCCTAATCCCCCCACTTCCCAAAAGATGCCCCTATTTTACGTTGGTATACGCCAAAAGTCAAAAATCTGCTGACAAGTATATGGCATATACCCGCTATCCATACCAATACACCACTGCTCTTAATGCTGTATAGATACATAGTATTGCATGTTAGTATTTAATTTGAGTTATCTTTAAATGAGAAACTGTTATCACTTATAGAACTATACAGTGATATTTTTTTTAATAATAATTATTCTTATTTTAGAACTCAAGCTGAAATATCACAGTTATGTCGTGGTACTATTAGTTTGAATGGGGCTACAATTCACACGGAGGATTCATGCACAATTGTTATATCAAATGGTGGTACTCAAACTTTTCACCTTCGTGCCACTAGTGAAGTAGAACGGCAAAGATGGGTAACTGAATTAGAGTTAGCAAAAGCTCGAGAAATTGGACACTCAACTACAGGTAAATGTAAATAGTGAAGTTATCAAAATATATTTTTATTTTTTCCTTACCTTCTTTTTCTTATACATTTTTATTGCTTGATTGTTTAATAATAGTTAAACTAACTTCTATGTAGAATGAAACTTTATAATCTTGAATTTTTTACTATTTATATACTATAGTATAATAATATATTTGAATTATTTATAATATATGTAATGTTTATTGTATAACCATTTTTAGATAGAGGCAAAGAAAAAGAGTTAAGTGCAAACTTAGAAGTTTCATCTGTAGTGTCATCGTTAAATACCAAATTATCTGAACTGCGATCTCAAAGTGAGATTATATCTAAACATAGCAAAGCTCTGCAACGGTGCTTAACTGAGTTAGAAACCATAGATTTACCTCCTGATGTTTCCACAAAAATAAAAGCATGGATGGAACGTGCAAATTTGATACGTATTGCGTCAGTTGGTATGGTAACTGTAAGTATATAAGTAAAATATTATTAGCTCATAGTTGTATAAAATAATTGTATATAAGTAAAATAAAAGGAAATATCATTTGCATATTGTATTGGTTTCACAGAGGAAGACATTTTATTATATTTAGTTTGTAATTTACACTTGTCACTTAATTTTGAATAAAGTTCATTAAGATTTCATGTTACCAACTCTACTTAAGGAAGATTCTTGAAATTAAAACCAAATTAAAAATCTGTTTTTTTAAAACCTAGTGTTATGAAAATATTCCATAATTTCTTTCTTTTTTTGCTTGTTCCTCAATCATAAAAAAAAAAAGAATGTTTAGAGAACTTTTAATCCCCTTTTTAAAGTATTTACTAGATACAGTTTGCTACAAAACTGTTCTTAATGTTAAATATTGGAATAAATGTTATGGAATAATATTGTATAAATTTAATATTATAAAAATTAAAAGTAATTTAAAATGTTTATGAAAGCTAGTGATAAATTATCATGTACATAAACTATAATTTATTTATTCATACTAATTGTATTTTACATGATCATATTTTAAATTATTGATAAAAAGTTCTTAGGCTTATTAATTATTGTAAAAATATATTATGTGTTTTAGAATTGTTCAGAGTATTTAGATTTGGCTCAAAGTCAGGGTAATAAATGGCAAAAGATGTTGTATAATGAACGGCGACAGCGTATACAGTTGGTAGAAATGGTAGATCAAATTGCTAGGGAACAGACTGTATTGGAGCATGTAGCTAATAACGACAAACAAGGTAATTAAATTTTAATAGTATATTCTATTATAAACAAAGATATTTTACAGTATATTTTTATATAACAAATACATAAGTAGTGTAAGTATTATGTTTGATTA